AGTCTGATAAGGTTGTCTGACAGTATTACTTTGATTAATGCTTATGTATTGATTATTGATGCTGGCTGATCAGGATCATTATCAGCTTCTTTGCTCTTGGTTTCAGTTTTGGTTTCTTCTCTGATGATGAGGTAATCAGTTGTCAAGCTCCACAACAATCGGGATATTTTTCAGTCTCATAGACTCACACATGGCGTCTCAATAATGCCACGTGTTTGTGTCAGTGTTTTTAATGTTTTGAGAAAGTGAGGTACAATTTCAGAAAATGTGAAAGTAATTAAGACAAACTGTAACATGCGGGAGGCGTGACCTGTGACCCGCAGACTGACACGTTTTGCTTTCCTGCGGCGCGTTTCAGCCCCTCCCACCGCTGCCCTCTGACTACTGTTGTTACCTCGCTGTGCGCCGGCGTCTGCAAACTTCCCCTCAAAACATTTGCACAACAACATACAACAACGGCACCAAGTTTACTGGGAAGAGACGGCGGCTTTTTAGCACTTTGCCGCATCTCGCACACCCCACGGTGACGGGAATAGCACCCATGGAGGGAGGAGGGGGCTGTAAAAATGTAACAACGGGTGGTGGGTGTCAAATCTGTCAGAGTAGTGTTTGTTCGTGTGTGTTCAGCTTTAGTGGCGTACGAGTGTGAATGAACAGTGTGTGTGTGTGTTTTGAGGTGTTACAGGAAGATCTGATCTGAGCGCGCTCACTGTAGCGAGGCACACGGTGATTGTTGGAGGAGAAAGAGGAGTCACTCTCATGTGAAAAAGTCAGACATTTAAATAACAGGTTTTTTTGTTAATCAGATGATTTATTTAACAGATTGTATAACGTGGTGTTACTGTGTGTGCTTCAAGGTATTCTCCAGTGTCTGTTTTTCTGGTTTTAATTGTGTTTTTGGCTGTGTTGTGCACCGCCCCCGCAAATAAACTTAATTACATTTACAAAATTTGAATGTGAAGCTGAAAAACAGCTGAACTCACTCTTCTGATTATTAACAGTTGCTGTCTGCCTGTCACTGTACACAAAACCATTCATTTTACTATTCATACACAACCATAAATACACTGCCAGTATCCAGATCCTTCACTAAAAGCTACAATATAATAAAGAAAATTATAATAATATTAATATATAACATTTCTGCAATAAAAGCTATCAGAGAAACAAGCTGGGCTAATGTTAGCAGGACCGGACGTCCTTTGTCTGTCCAACAGTGTGG